GGAAGGAAGGAAGGAAGGACGGAAGGATCTCTTTGTAGCCCTGACTATGCCAGAACTCACTCTGTGAGCCAGGCTGGCCTTGAATTTAGAGGTCTGCCTGCTTCTGCCATCTAAGGGTTGGGATAAAAGGCCCGTACCACTTCTGGCTGACTTCAGTGAATAAATTAATCAGTTATTATCTAAGTTTTTCCTGGGTTTAGATATGATTGTACAGCAACTAAATCCCTAATGGAGCAAGATTGGACTCAGTTGAGGAATCAGATTACAGGCTTAGTCTGGGAGGGCGTGACTACAGAGGGGCGGGTTCAGTGGGAAGGGTTATAAAGAACAGAGCCGCCAGAGAAGCCCTCTGAGTCTCAGGTCCTGGAGCTACAACGTTTCCCTGCCTTGACTTGGAGGCCTCTCACCAGTGTCCGACTCAGGTAAATCCATCAGCTCTCTAATCTCCTGCAGCCTCGTCTAGCCTTGTCTGCGCTTCAAATACTGTGTGTGGTCTTTTAGTTTCCAGGGAATTCTGATACTTTTGGGGATTTTTTTGTTTTTGTTTTTGTTTTTTTTTTGGTTTTTCTAAACAGGGTTTCTCCGTAGCTTTGGTGCCCGTCCCGGAACTAGCTCTTGTAGACCAGGCTGGCCTCGAGCTCCCAGAGATCCGCCCCATTTCTGCCTCCCGAGTGCTGGGATTAAAGACCTGTGCCACCACCGCCTGGCTTTTGTTCTGTTTTTAAGGTCAGTTCTCACATAGATTCTTTTACCTCAGAGATCTTTGGACTGGATAACCTGAATATGTCAGTATGTTCTTATTTATATATGATAATTAATTGGGTGATTTGTGATTTCTCTGTTGGTTCAGAAAGAGACTACTAAAAGATAAAATAAAATTAAAAAAGAGAGACTACCAAGACTGTCAGGGTGACCTTGAATTCAGGGTTGTTCAGGCTGAAAGAGAAAGGGGAGGCACTCACCCCTTGCTTGTGCTCCCCTTTTTGTCAATGTAAGCCAGGCATGCCTTAAATCCCAGCACGAGGAAGGTAGAGGAAGGGTGATCTCTTAGTTGGAGTTGACTCAGTGAGTTCCCTTCCAGGACCTGTCGGCATGTTGACCCCAGCACTTAGCAGCCAAAGCAGGTTGAGGTGGAGACTAACCTGGTCTCCAGAGGAATCTCGTGAAAGCCATGGTTCCCAGTGAGTTCCACAATGGCAGGCAGGGTTACTACCTTGTATCTAACTAGAAAATGAAACAAAGTTATTTGCACCTGCGGATTGCTGCATGGACTCCTCTTTCTGGAGCCTATGCTGCCCTCAAACTTGAGGAAAGCAGCCTGCTTCCATCTACTCAGTTGACATTTAATTAATAACTCTGCCCCCCCCTACAGTCTTAGTAGTATCAGAAGAACTCAGGAAGCTGTTCTGGTGCTCTTAAACAGTAAACAGCTGTGGAATTGTTCTAGTGACTTTCCTTCCTTCAGCATGTAAATGATCATTTTCATCTCTAGTCTTCTGGGAATCGGGAAAGTTAAACAGCCACATTGGTCCGTCTTACAGCCAAGCAGTGATAACACAGCCCTTTAATCCCAGTAGCATCACTAGTTGCCATAAAAGGCAGGAGGTGCATGCCTTAAAGACCAGTGGTACTGGCTTTTTTTTTTTTCCTAGGGCTTGCTTTTAATCCCAGCCCTAGAAAGGATTATAAAACGGAAGGCAACAGCTCTCCCAATCTCATTCAGAGATTCCTGGAGGCAGGATCACCATTTTCAGATTGAGGTCCAGGTAAGAACCAGTGGCGACTGCTTTTCTATTTGGATCTTCAGGTTGAATCCCAATTTCTCTGAGGTCTTACTAATCATGTATCATTTGGCACCCACTTTTTGGTACATGAATTTCCAAAAAAAAAAAACGGAAAGGCCATTTGCCTGTGGCTTTTTAGCCACCAACCCTTGCCAAAGTTGGGATTGGAATTCCAGCTCTAGGAATTGGAACCCAAACCTAGCCACCACCTGGGTTCAGAGAACTCCCAGCTCCTGTCTTCCTTGGCTTAGCTGCTTCTCCTGCTGTGCCTGTCCTTGCTGCCACCCTGTCTCGCACCCACATGAGAAAACCAGCAATAACAAAAAGCTGGTAAACTGGAAGATGTAATTGAACAAGGGGGGCATCTTCCAGCCCCAGGAAGCAGCAGAAGCTAGAAGCTTTGGCCACCTTGTTCTGTAATGAAGAACAAAGTCAGGTGCAGCTGTTTGGTAACTTGTCTTTTTTCCAGGTAGGCTTGGTTTTTAAAGAGATGCTTCCTAGCAGCAAAAAACTCCAGCTCTTTTTTTTTTTTTCTATTTTTCTTTTTTGTGACAGGGTTTTTCTGTCCTAAAACTCACTCTGTAGACCAGGCTGGCTTTGAACTCACAGAAATTTACCTGACGCTGCCTCCGGAGTGCTGGGATTAAAGACATGTCACTGTTATGCCCAAATCCACAAAGTCCCCAAAAGGCAACAAGACCAAGACCCATACGTAAAAGCAAAAGAGCCTTTATTTTATACAAGTGTACAAACCCGGTCTCTCCACATGTCCAATGATTTGGAATAAACGGAAAGCCCCCAGCTCAGTTAGAATGGGGTTTTTATAGTAGTAAAGTTGTGGGTGAGGGGTTTCTGAGGTTCAGGACCTTTAATTGGCTGATATTTATCTAGGGATTTCCTGGTGAGTGTGTGCTGGCAGGTGATCCTATCTACGGTGGTTGGAATGTTAGACATTTCCTTTGGATAGTCTGTTTTTGGGTGGTGCTCAGGTAATCTCAGTTTGTGGTTCTTCCTGCAACCAGGTATTTCTTCAGGGTTAACTGCTGAGACTCAGGACTCTATTAAATTTATGGATGGCTAAGCCCTACCTTTGCAGGTGATAATGGTTGGAAGTAAAGAACATCCTTTGGGTGATCTGTTCATATTTAGCCTATCATGGCTGGCTCCTACATTTCCCCTTTCACAAGCACCAATGACAGGACCCAATCTTGGTTCCTGCTTGCCCCTGGTTTTAAGGAGATGTGGAATTATTTAAATTAATAAATCCATTAATTGACAACTCTGGACCTACTTTTTTAGAATATCAACAGGCGCTAGAGGTCTTGTCTCCCATTCTGGGAGGTCTCCCTTGTCTTAGCCTTTTAACCTATTATGTGCAGAGATGACATGTTCCTTTCCACAACTACTTCAAGCTGACATTGCGGCGTTGTTATCCAGACCCAAGCAGGTTGAAAGGCTAGCCAAAGCTGGGGGAAATTTAGACAATGTGGCACTCATCAGACTCCGAAGAAGAGGCAGGGAGTGTTTATATCAGCTGGACTGGTCCACACCAGCTTTTAGGAAGTCCAGGACTCGCCACCATTCAGAGCAGGTTGTTGTCAGAAACTGATGCTTAGATGTGTCTGCCAGCCAAGTGGAAGCCTATTGAGATAAGTTTAAAGTAGAAACAGAAATTAAATTTAGAAAAAGCAGATATCAGGTGCTTGAATTAAAGGCATATGCCACCAAGCCTGGCTTCTTCCCAGCTCTTTTAAGAGTCTCTGTCACCTAACACTGAAATGGCATTAATGAGCCATAGGCATCATGATTCTTTGTGGTAGAATGGACTTTGAAACTCCACAGAGTTATAACAAAAACATGGCTATCACTAGTGCATTCACAATAAGCTAAATTATTATTAGGAAGCCATGGAATGGGGCAGAACCAGCTGCCAAAGTGGCAACTTTAATCCTAGCCATGCTGTTTAGCAGATTAAAGGCTCATGTGGTCAGAATAAGATAGAAATACAGTAAAGACAGATTGAGATGGGAGAAAAAGGCTTTTAATGACTTACAATGTTTTCTAAAATGTAAGGAAAAGGATAAAGTCTTTTAAATCAAAAGTGAGTGGTTGGGCATAATGGCACACACCTTTAATCCCAGCACTTGGGAGGCAGAGGCAGGCAGATCTAAGTGTAAGGCCAGCCTAGTCTAGAGTGAGAGCCACAATAGCCACGGAAACACAGAAAATCTATCTTAACAATCCAAAAATTGAAAATAAAAATATAAGAAAGTAAAAACCACGTAGAGATGGAAAATACACTGAGAATCTGGATAATGTTTGTTACTGTTTTGTCTTTGAATTGTTTCACTGCTGAGAATGGGGGAACAGCTGCTAACAGATGTTTGAGTAGAAGCCTGCTGGATTAATTCAACCGATATATTTTAGAAAAAAGACTTGACTTCAAAGTTTTAATTCAAAGGATATGTTACTTCGGAGAAGTTTTGCTTTTGTTTCCACATGAAGTGAGAGGCTGTGGGTTCATTCAGGGTTTAAAAAAAATAAGGATTGTTCAAGACAGACCCCCTGAAATATCTCATAGGGACAGATGGCCCAGATGATCCAACGCTTCAGAGTATCTGTTTCAGTTTCCTCTTAGTTCTACATCCAGAAGGGTTTCAAGACTGCTGTTGAGAAGATTCAGCCTCATAGAATACTCAGGACTTGACCATAATCCTAAATTTTCTTTGAGTTCCAATAAGATTATCATCACCTCCAATCAGAAGGAAGCAGCCTAGAAAACTATGTGAGGGACTCGGGAAACAGAGATGATCGACTTTTTAGGAGAGTTTAGGATCAGTTTTCAGGCCAGGTACATGTTGTACACCCATGGTACCAGCCCAGCCTCATACCAGCCTTTGCTTCCTGTCTTGAGGTGTGTTCTCATGATGCTGTCCAGACTGGTCAGGACCTGGTGGCCTCTGCTGCCACCATAGTCTTGCCGTCCTCTTCCCAATTACCTGAGACCACACTTAGACACCCCACACCTGAATATGACCATCCAAAGACACAAAACATTGGAATCATCTTTGAGATGGCTCCGCAGGTGAAGTCACTGTCTGTGTCTTTGTCGTGACTTCACCTCAAGGTGTCTCCTGATGCTTATGGAGTGCCATGAGATGTTTAAATGCAAGTACAGACAAGAATAATAAAAAAAAAACCAAAATTCATATTTACTTTTTTAAAATCTGGATTTAGGAGCTGAAGATATGGCTCAGTGGCTATGAGAACTTTTTCCAGAGGATCCAGATTCACTTCCCAGTAATCAACCTTCTCCATCACTAGTCCAGAGTATCCAATGCCTTCTTCTGGGGTCCATGGGTACTCTATGGTTGCTTCTGGTGCTCCATGGGTCCCCCGCATTTTTTTCTTGGCTCCCATTATTCATTTTATTTATTTATTTACTTATTATTACTATTATTTTTGGCTTTTTGATACAGGGTTTCTCTACAGCTTTGGAGTCTATCCTGGAACTAGCTCTTTTAGAACAGGCTGGCCTCAAACTCACAGAGCTCCAACTGTCTCTACCTCCAGAATGCTGGGATTAAAGGCCTGCCCCACCACTGCCAGGCCTCATTATTTATTTTACATCCTCCAGGCTGTGTGCTGAGCTGATCCTATCTGAATCACCTTCCACTGATTGAGAAGCCAAGACTGTAGCTCTGTGCCCACCCATCCCCCACAATCTCCTCCCTTCCTGCCCTCCCACCACAAACCCCTCCCTGCCTGCACACAATACCTTTGATATGTTTTAGATTCCCCTTTTGATTACACAACACAACACACACACACACACACACACACACACACACACAGGTTTAGGTTTTTGAGACATACTCTCTGTGTAGCTCTCATCATTCTGGAACTCATTCTGTAGGCCGGTCTGGCCTTGAAGGCAGAGTTTGGGGATTAATGGCATGAGCCACCAATTCCCAGCTAGTTTTATGCTTTTAAAGCCTTAACAGTTGTCCAGATATGGTGGCAAACACCCTTAATCACAATACTCCAAAGCCAGAGACTGGAGGGTCTCAAAGAGTTCAAGTCTGCCTGCTACACACATGATGGGTCTAGGGCAGCCACGCAAAGATGAGGACAGACCACCAAAGTCTAATTAACCAGAAACAAACTTTATTCCAGAAACTGAAATCCAGGAAAAAATAAAAATAAAATAAAAAAATCTCCATGGGGCATCAAAAGCTTTTCAACTAACTGAGACCACTGCCAGAGATGGATTTTATGGCTGTGGCAGAAGCTGAACCCATCTTCTTATCGTAGGGGCACCAAGCATTAGGTCTGAACAAAGGAATTTTTACATTCTCAAGGTAAAATTCACGTACAGATTGTGTTACTTTACAATCTCCATGAACAGTTTTTCAGTTAAACTAGTAACCTATTGTCTTTCTTGATACTTATGGGCAGTGTTTACTGAAGCCCCGTGGCCTCCCCTTTGATGCTGCCAGTTTCACATAGCAGGGATAATGTACAACCCAGAGGTCATATATCTTAACCTATAACCTAAAAGTTGACTCAGCTCATATCCGTAGCCTAGCTCTCAGTTTGCAGAGAGATGCTTTGGCCTTGTGAATAATCATGGGTTGTAAAGCGAAATCACCTGCTGTTAATAGTTAATCCTCAAGCTGCTGAGGAAGCTGCTGATGGTTTGTTCTCATTCTCCTAGACTTATAACTTTTTACTTCTTTGTTTTAATAGTCTTATCTTTGAATCTACGTTTTTATTTTCTTATTCTTGGACTCTTCGGTACGTAGTGAGCTCCAGGATAGCCAGAGTTACATAATGACATCCTTCTCAAAACGTAACAAAAAACCAAATTAGATGAAAAGGTAACTATGGCAGTAGTTTTAGTTCTTTTCATTGGTTGATCTGATCCAATCCATCTAGACACCATCTAAATCCCAAAAGAAGTGGGCAGGGCCTCAGTTGTTCAGACTGAAGATTTTGGCTGGGAGGGTGTGGGAGGGTGTGGCTACAAAGGGGAGGGTTCTGTGGAAAGGTGTATGAGGGACAGAGCTGACAGAGAAGACCTGAAGCTTGGAGGCTGGAGTTCTCTGAAGTCACTGCCTACCCATTTTGGAACTGGAGATCTGTTATCAGTATTTAGATCAGGAAAGTTCCTTAGCTCCATCAAGAGACCCTATCTTAACCTGAAGAGTCTAGAGTTGGGTTCACCTCCAGGTATCATTTATTTCTCTTTTAGTTTGCTGATTTTTTTTTTTTTTTGAGATAAGGATTTCCTACTTAACCCTGCCTGACCTGGAAGAGATTCTGCTGGATAACAAACAGCCAGGGAGTTTTGTTTATATCAAAGTCATTATTTGAGTCTGTTTGTAGACTCTGTTCATAGTGACCTTGAACTCCCAGAAGAGTGGGGGGGGGCGCTGGAAATTGTAGGTGTGAGTCATTCAAATGGTTTGACTTTGACTGTGCTGCTCTCTGCCTCTCCTTCCTCCTCCTCCTCCTCCTCTTGTTTTCAACACAAGACAGGTTTCTCTGTAGCCCTGGCTGTCCTGGAACTGTCTCTGTAGACCAGGCAGTCTTGATCTCACAGGAATTCTCTTTTAGTGCTGAAATTAAAGTCAATTGCCACCCACACCCAGCTTGTGCTGATCTTAAGTCAATTTAAACCAGGCATAGATCGGTACATTTTTAATCCCAACACTTGGGAAGTAGAGGCAATCTCTGGGAATTCCGTCAACCTGGTCTACAGAGTGAGTTCCAGGACTGTCAGGGCTGCCATACTATAATAAAACAATGATAACAAGAAGTTCTTTTTCTCTGCTGGTTCATTCATGGTCCCATTATGAAGACTAGGATTTCCTCAATATTGCAGGAAGCATCCTGCTTCCTAGGTCTCTGTGTTCAAATTAGAATTTTGAACCATGATTTTACTCTTTGAGACTTTATTTTTGTTGTTGTTGTTGTTGTCTTCCATTAGATTCTGGAGATGTCAGGTCGGATGTTCTAAAATTCTAGAAGTAACCAGCCATTTCATTGAACTAGTGAGTTTCTTGACTGTTGCATGTGAATTATCCTCTCCATCCCATAGCCCTGTCTTTCCCAATGCTTTACACTTGCAGACCACGCCAATGATACTGAAGCTTTACTGCCTCTATTGAGTGTTTCTTTCCTACCCTGTTCATCTCTGGAGCACAGAGTCTAATGGTAAAAGAAAAATGCTGTGAATCCCTGAGTGGCTGCAGCAGCACAAATGCTGCAAGTTCCTGAGCAATGGCAGTGGGCCATGTGGTGGAAGGTGTCCCAAGAGCAGCCAGTCCCAGGCAGGTATGGCACAGTTCCCCGAGTGCCTGCAGCCCCTCACAAGGAGAGACAACAAATGGGCATGCCACGAGACCATGTTGCAGGTCTCCAAAGGCTACTAACTGGTCCCAGGCTGGGAGCCACACTGCATGTGAGAGACAGAGACATGGATAAGCATGCATGAAGAGTGAGCTTAGATATTTATTTAGTGGTTTATGGAAAGGAAAGGGGAGAAGGAGAAGAGCAGAGAAGATGGAGAGACAGAGATGGAAAAGGGAAAGGAACTCAGGCTGGAAGCTGAAGATCAGCTTGCCTCAGTGGATGGGGAGGGAGTGGGAGTGGCTTGTCTCTTAAAGAGACAGGACAGACCATTTCACAGAGTACAAGCTACAGCCCTCCTGCCTCCTTCTCTGAAACTGGCAATCAAAGTCAATAATTAATGATGTCCATTTCACAAATGCTCTCAATTGTTTCAGGCAGGGTCAGCTAGGTGAGTGGAGACTTGGAAGATGAGAAATTAGGAGTTTCCTTTGCTTTATTTGAGGTCATGGAGAAGCAACCATCCGGGCTGATTCCTTGCTTCCTGTAGACTGCTTCTCAGTATACATAGATTCAACTGCACTGTGGTTGGAATTGGATAGGGTACTTTGGAAAGAGCAATCTTTTTTTCTTTTTTCCATTCAAAAATCCACACTTTCTTCCCTCCTCCCATTCTTCTCCCGTTCCCCCATTCACCCTCCTCCCTCCCTCTCCCTCCTTAAGAGAGGGCAGGGAACCCTGCCCTGTGGGAAGTCCAAGGCCCTCCCCACTACATCCAGGCCCAGGAAGCTAAGAGCTAAGAGCATGCTTTTGACCAGCTTCACACCCCAGAGAGAAGGATGACTTTATTTTATATTTTTTATTGAAAATTTCCACCTCCTCCCCTTCTCCCACTTCCCTTCCCTCCCTCCATCCCCCCTCTCCTTCCCTCTCCAGTCCAAGGAGCAGTCAGGGTTCCCTACCCTATGCGAAGTCCAAGGTCCTTCCTGTTCCCCCCAGGTCCAGGTAGGTGAGCATCCAAACAGACTAGGCCCCCACAAAGACCATCCATGCAGCAGAATCACAACCCAGCACCATTGCCCGTGGCTTCTCAGTCAGCCTCAACCGTCAGCTACATTTAGAGAATCCAGTTTGATCACATGCTCCATCAGTTCCAGTCCAACTGGCCTGGTGATCTCCCATTAGGTCAGTCCCACCGTCTCAGTGGGTGGACGCACCCCTGGCAGTCCTGACTTCCTTGCTCATGTTCTCCCTCGAGAAGGATGACTTTAAAACCAACAGGCAGTTGATGAAAATGTGAAAACTGAGGCCTCCACCATCACCTTTCAGGAGCGTTTATCATGAGCTATTGTGGCCATGACGAAATAACAATTATGGCAATTGATGATTTGGATGTCAACCCACCTGAGAAATGACTCTTAGATTGTGGAATCCTGCCTGGCAAAGCCAGCAGCACCACTGACTCTAAAACTCTGAATTGCTTTCATCTGTAATATCACTTTGTAATAACAGCTCTGATATCTCCCCATTAACATGCATTTTCATGTAATTTGTACATGTAACTCATGATTACATCTCAAACTTATGGCTACACATGTATTTCTAGGTAACCAAAAGATTAACTTCTATCTACTATTGTTGACTGAGGTTTTCTGTCCTGCCCAGTCCTTGTTCTGCCTAGTTCCCGCAGTCATTAAGTCCCAAAGAAAATTACGCCGAGTCTCCAGTAGTTGTAAACTGATTGGCCCATTAGCTCAGGCTTCTTATTAACTCTTATAACTTATGTTAACCCAATATTCTTATCTATGTTAGCCACATGGCTCGGTAGCATTTTCGGCAGGGTAGGCCGCATCTTCCTTCTCAGGATGAGACAGTTTTGAAAAATTCTCTGCCTCTGAAAATGGTCTGTCAATTACGCTAGGCCATAGCTAAAGTTCTTTGCTTCAATATTGCAAAATGAGACTTTGGGTGATTGCTCAGGTAGCTAATTGTCTCTGTCATATATTGCTCACTTTGGAAGCTACTTGATTGTACTTTCTACCTGCTCAAGTAATATTATCTCCCTT